AAGTAATTTTCTCAAAAATGAGATATATAAATATAATTAGCTGAAGATAAACTGTGTGTAAATTACTAAAGTTATAATTAACTTATCGATAATATCCTATTTCTGGTCTGTTAGGTTTTATTCTATTTATTTTAGGTTTGATTATTGCCCACCATCTTTATCATATTTATCTCAGAGAGAGAGAGATTTATTTTCGTCAATCAGAAAAACTGAGCATTGCAACAATAATAAAAATACACAACAACGTAAGTTTTTCAGTATAGACTGGGGTGAGTGATACGACCATACAGTCCAACAGAGCCAGCTCCCTTTTTAGGTCAAGTTAAGTTAAGATAGGTTATATTACCCCGCCACTAAAAGTCAATGAATGTCGCATGCCGAATGCCACCTAGGGCCCCTAAACCTTCTATCTATACATTTACAATACAATCGGCTCGGGCTCATCGTCAGGGACACGTTCGCCGTCGCACTACTGATTACCCAATGAGAAGTAAATTATGTGTGAGGAGATTGCTGGATTCCTTGCTGCGGGCGGAGGTTCACATGAAAACTGGTCGGTGGATGCATCTGAAACAAATAACTGGCTAACTAATCCCAAACCAGACATGAACTGGGTAACCAGATGAGAGGCCGTGGTTCCCCATATGATTAAATCGTCTTATCTTCTTTCTTTTCCCCCGGGATAAATATGTAAAATCCTATCCTTAACGTACACTAAACTATCTATCTATACATTTACAACACAATCTTGGGCGTCCCCTTTTTCAATCCCCCAAATTCCTGAAATGCATATACCGGTACCGGTACCGGTATCAAATTTAATGTTTTTACGGTCTGGTGGTAATGGCCTCTTCAGTGCCAAATGAAACAGAAACTAGTCTAGAATATTTCTCACAACTAATAAGATAAATGAGAAATGGTATAAGCGTAAATTTTAAAGATGCAAAGATTATATTTTGTTGAATTTTTATTTTTTTCAAATATCAAGTCTTTTCGGCTTTAAAAACAGCAAAAAATGATACATGAATGAAAAAAAACAGGGGTGATAGCGTGATTAAGGACCCCAGAAAAGCTGATAAATTTATGATTAAATTTTTAATCTGAATATAAGTAGCAGAGTATTGTTGAATTCCTAATGGTCAAAAATTTCCTTCATTTGACCAAGTGTTAAAAACACTATCCATCATGTCCAGGGGGGCCAGTCAGGAATTATCAATTGGGAGTTCTGAAATTTCTAACTGCCAAAGTAGTCAGACACCGGGCCCGACCACAGGCCAGAAAACGAGGGTTTTCAATAGTCTCGAGCAGGGGTGGGCAACATACGGCCCGCGACGAGATTTTGACCTTTGACATTATGTTAAGTTCGGTAAGTATGTTGATAGGTATTTGTCTGTCTGTATGTTAGATGCAAGCGATATCTCACGAAAGCGAGGTTGAATCTGCTCCAAATTTTGCATGTGCATTCATCATAGCTCGGATCAGAAGCCTATTGATTTTGGATTGATTATGTCTTATAACTAGCGAGTTATTAATGAATTAGTGATGGGACACACGGTGTCACTATGGAGTAAGACCACTGTTTTGGGGGATCCCCTAACCTTCGATCGATAAGTCTTCGGTTTCTAACCGATATTCTAGTTTCACTTTTAGTAGATTATGATAAATTTATTATGTGTTTCTCTATTTTTTGTAAAGTTTAAACTTTACTTTAAACGCGATTTATAATTTTCTTTCTTGCATTATCGAATAAATATGTGATTAAGATATTGAATACTGTTCATGTTATAATCCGGCCCACCGAGGACTTCATTTTCCCACATCTCGCCCGCCGACTAGAGAAGTGCCCACTCCTGGTCTTGAGGGTCTAAAGAGCGTTTCAAGCTGCAAAAAAATTGCTCTGTATGAAGAAAAAAAAAACTTTTTTACATTTCAAAATGGAGGGTGGGTTTCGAACCTCAACTACTGCTACACCACGAATCATGCCCATGGGAAACACTGCAATTTCTTTAATATTGATAATACAGCTGAGGATTAATTTGGGATTTTCAACATTTTCACTCCTAACATGGCTCTAAACAAGCAAGTAATGATAAATAAACAGCCACTATTTTTGGGACCAGAATCTTGCTTCACCTCAAATTTCCAAATGCACACACCGGTACCGGTATCATATTTAATAATGTTTTTATGGTCTGGTGATAATGGCCTCTTTAGTGCCAAATGAAACAGAAACTAGTCAAGATAATTTCTCATAACCGAGAAGATGAGTGTTATCCGAATTTATATTTTTAGTTGGTTACAGATCAATCAATCAGTATTTACTAACACGTAATTCTTTACAGCGGTGGTTTCCAACATTTTGGCATGTGGCTCTCACGGCCCCCTGTCTATCATTCCAGTGGTATTTATAGTGTTATTTTGATTAGTTGATTTCAGAATCTCATTATCGAATTTGCTCGTTTTGTAGCCCGGGCCCATATTTTTTTAACAAACTCACTGACCGGGCCCTTATTCAAACCGGGCCCTTATTCAAGCACGGGCGCTTGTTATTTTTAAAGTAAAATTATACACAAAAATTATATTTGAGACATTAATCCTTTGTGACAAAAGCGCTCCTCATTTCCTTTTGTTTTCTACCACTGAAAAATCAGCTTTTACATCGGGCGGGTATTCAAGCACCGGCCCTTTTTTATTTTTATGTTCTGTTCACACGGGCGGCTATTCAAACAGACCCTTAATAAAGATTGGGCGGTAAAACGAGCATATATACGGTATGTGCAAACAATTCATGCTCAACAAAGGGAAAACACACCCTGTGAAATAATCTCATCTAGCAATGAAAATAGGAAGAAAGGCGAGTTTGTGAAAAGTAGAATCAGTTCTTAGGTAAGCTTTGCTATGAAACTACTGTGTATTCCCTGCTAGCTTGCATCAATTTCCCAGCATTGTAACAAAGGCATCAGCTTGTGAAGAGACTGTTTATCATCAAATCACTTATGACGGGGGTATCCTGATCATCATTCGCCTTTGATACAACATTAAAGACTTGGGTAGAAAATTACAATTAGAAATTCTAATATAATAGAAATTGGGGGCTCCCGAAGTATGCGAACCAAGATGGCGGACATCGGAATGTAATATGTGTACTAGGTTAGGGTTAGGCCATAATTTTAAGTATAAATACTACGGGAGGCTCTTGGCTAGTCTTCGAACTGATAATAGGACTAAAATAAGGAAAATTGGAAAAAAATTATCGCCTAACCCTAACCTGTTACCCATGTTACGTTCCGATGTCCGCCATCTTGGTTCGCATACTTCGGGAGCACCAGAAATTGTCTATATTCGATGCCACTTTGATATGCATTGTAAGTTCGTGACCCCCTATATACGCTCTGTTGCCCACGGTGTGGAACCGCTGCTTACGGGTGTCTAATTTATTTCACCCTGAGTGAGATGTTGTGCCAATGGCGTGGCCAGGGAGGTGGTTTTGCGGGTCGAAACCCCCCCTTTTGAAATGTAAAAAAAATAAAATCATCATTCTGTATCATAGATAGCAATTTTCCGTAGCTTAAAATGCTTTTCAAACCCCCAAGACAACTAAAAACACGCGTATTCCAGCGTTCGATCGTACCCGCTAGCAGTTTCGATCTAACTTGGCAAAAAAAAATTCATACCCCCCCCCCCCTTTGAAAATTTTTGGCTACGTCCCTGCGTTGTGCTTAGGATTTGAACCTGCGATAACATCATAATTAATCTTGACAACCATGATAGATTAAAAAGTTGAATGAAACACTGATGGAAAGGCCGACCAGCATGTTGCGTCAAACATAACCACAATTAACCCCACCAGGATTTTTATTTTGGGTTGTTTCCAAATTTAGGGTGTAGCACGTATTTTGTTATAAGTGATGAACTATTTGTAACTTATAAAAATGTGTTATTTATTTAACTGATCCTCTTCAGTGGCATAATGAGCCACTCTCTGAATATTCGAATATAATTTTAGGAAATCACTGTACCCCACAGAATTTGAACCTGTGTATGGCAATCAGTCAGTGGCGTAGCCATGGGGGTAGTTTTGGGGGTCGACCCCCCCCCCCCCCTTTTAAAATGTAAAACAATAAAATCATCTTTCTATATCATACAGAGAAATTTTTTGTCGCTTGAAATGATTTTTAGACCATCAAGACTAATAAAAACACACATTTTCAGGCGTTCGGTCAGTCCCGCTAACTGTTCCGATTTAACTCAGCTAATAAAAATTTCAGAACCCCCCTCCCCCCCTCTTTTAAAAATTTCTGGCTACGACCCTGTAATCAGTTCCTAAAGTTTTAAGACAGGGATGAGCAAGGTTTTTGTACCAGGATTCAAAAATTTTGCCCGCCTAGACTGGCGAGTCATGTGAAAAGTTACACTTTATGAACAATATTCACAGTGTTACAAAAGCAAAGGTGGAAAACAGCAAGCCTCGTGCCAATACTAAATTTAATTACAATCTCAACAAATTCCTTAAGCTATTTTTTAGCTAAAACAATAAAATTTCGTTTTAGTTTGGTTGCGGCAGCATCAGACGGGCCAGATTGAATTACCCAATGGGCCAGATTTGCCCATGTTAGGTTCAACATGATGCGCCGAGGGTCGAGCCAAAATAAAACAGTTATTATAAGTAAAAGTGTATCTGGACTCCATAATCAGCATGATAAAGTGATTGATAAAAACAAAATAAATAAAACTGATTATAGAATCGGGAAAGCAAACAAAACTTCTAGTAAGGTTTAAATCGTACAGAATTTAGATGGAAAGGTATTAATGAAGGAAGTAGTACGTGTTCGCTCACCCAAAAGTATTAAAACTAATTAAGATACACACAATTACAGAGATATGATAAGATCGGAAGAGGAAAAAGGGAGACATAAAATCAATTACTCGGTAGAAAAAATATACAAACAAATAAATAAAAAAATAAAATCCAGGAAACTATAAACAAAACGTCAACTAACCTTGACTACCTTCCGTGATATTAGGGTCTCGTTGCGATTGCGGTGTCTCTTCAACCGGAAAATGCTCGTCTTTGAATTCTAGAGGTTCGATTTGGGTTTTTGGAGCGTACGGATCAAAATTATCATCAATTTTGAGAGATTCCGTCCGAGAAGAGACGCCAGGTGTGACTGCTGTCGCTGAGTGGAAGGAGGCTATATCCATAGAGGATTCTTGGTTATCTGGATCGCCACCGTAAAGCGACAATATCTGGTAATTTGATAAACTTTGTTTTTGGGAACGTGGGTTTGTGTTTAAAATTGGCATTGGATTTTTGCTTTTTACCGGCATTATTTTTTTCAGTTTTTGACCCGTTTCAGAGCCAACGTTTCCACTATTTGTCCCAGTAGACTGCAAAATTTGTCCTGATAAAAGGACACTGGGGTCTTGTTTTCTACCATTGTCCCCCGAATGTAACTCCACTGTACTAATAATACCAGGGCTTGAATGACTGACAATTGTGGTTTTATTTGAATCACCCCCTTCTGGGGATTCCCCAACAGCTTGAAATTGATCAGATAGTCCAGGTGAACGAAAGACCTGAAATGACCCTTCACTGCCACCCAGTGACAAAACTGAACCTATAGCACCAGAAGATTTTTTCTGTCCGTCACCAATATTAGATAAAAGTGGATTTGGTAACGGACTCCTGACTTCAAAATTAATTGGGTTATGTTCTCCTCTGGGTTCCAGTACATTTTCAACGTCCATATCTTGATTTGATGAATTTTGTGACAAATTAGTTTCATTTTCAGATTTTTTAGCAACAGTCAGATCCATAGGACTCTTGTTTTGTTCATTTCTCAAATTTTCTTGCAATCGCTGCTGACCACCGTAAATTTCTTCATCATCACTATTGTTATGATGTAATTGTGGTGATGGTGATGTCATAATAGGAAAATCTTGCTTTTTAAAACCAGAAATTGATTGAGCCATGAAATCTGCGATCGAATTATCACCAATTGAGCTTGATGATTGGCTTTTTTTCATTTCCGAGGGAATGTATTTTCGATTACTGTTGCCAGATTTTTCATCAGTAATGAACATTTGAGTTCTATTTATTTGGGTATTTGTGGGGTTAAAATTAGAAGAACTGGCAACATAGTTTTGATCAATTTGTTTAGTGGGTGTTAAGTCAATTATACATGATTCACTGTTGGGATTTTGGTTCTTGGTAAGGATGGGTTCAAAGGTTATCTGAGAGGTTAAAGGTGAACATTCAGCAACATTTGTTAAGTCAATTGCCACTGAAGTATTGGTTTTGTCCATTTTCGGATGTTTTGGGTCCCTTGTCGATAAAATCGGAACAAATGTCTGGTTTTTGGGGTCATTTTGAAAAATATTTGGGGAAGAAAATAGGGTTCTTAGGGGGTTATTAGGAAGGCCTGGAGTAAAGTCTCTTGCTCCAGGGTTTAGTTCGTTAGAACTTTTTGTTCGCAATGTCCGATCTGGTGGAACTTCTTTTCTTGACGATACTGCAGAGTTCGAAGTTGAACTAGAGGTCGTGAACTCTCTAACAGGAAATGGGTGTTTAACTTCTGGTATTGGTAAATCTTCCGGTATGTTCGGATACGAGATTTCCCTCGGTGATCGGCATTGCTGGCATTTTTTGTCAATTCTGTGGTTCTTGTGAGTGCATTTTTCACACTGCCATTCTGATGATTCTGTCAAAGAAAAAATTTTCAATTTATCTATCATTAATACATTAGGAATCAATGGGGCATGACTTGACGAAATCTAATGATAGGATTTTCATATTCCAGGGAAGAGAAAAGCCAATAAAATGGCTTAATTATATGGTAAACCACGGCCTCTCGTCCAGATATCAGTCCATGTCGGGTATGGGGTTAGTTAGCCGGTTATTTGTTTCAGACGTATGGACTTGATAGTGGAGGATGCAGTTAACCCTTCAGCAGGTATATGAACCACCATAAAGGAAAGCTGATAAGACAGCGTAAACATTGATGATCCACATATGACCTTCCAGAGGTTACATGAACCACCCTGCGGCGGCGAGGAGTCCAATCCTCTCGCACTTAACCATCCCTGCATGGGATTCAAACCTGCGAAATCACTCAATGTAATCAGAGGTGCAGTGGCGAGCGTATTCCTAACGCTTGGCACGATGAGCCACATCGCCGGCTTATCCAAATGGCAAACCACAGCCTCTCATCCAGATACCAGTCCATGTCGGTATGGGGTTAGTTGGCCAGTTATGTATTTCAGACGCATGAACTTGATGGTGGAGGAAGCTGTAACCGACAATCAGTTACGAGGATCACCCTATGACGGCAAGGAGTTAAGAAGAAACATCTTAGTCAAGTCTCACAAACCCCCAACCAGTACCGGTACTAGAATATAATAGAAAACCAATGAAGCGTTATTAGTTGGAATAATGCTATCCTAAGAAAGGTAATGCAAATACTGTCATTCTACACTTGACTGAAGTAATAAAAAAATAAATTCATACTTTCCTCATCTTCCATTTCATTCCAACATGACTTGATTGAAAATAAACAACATTTGGGACATTTAGATTTTCTATTATGGAAAAGAATAAAACAGTTTTTTAGACCAATGTTTCTCAGTTACTGGACATGCAGTGGACTCATGGATTGTTTTGAACCGAAGTTTTCATTGTTTTGCATTTCACTGAACATGAAGTCAACTCATGCATTAAAAGTTATTGCTCGATTTCATTTTGTGCATGTTTATTTTATTATGTTCTTTAACTGTTTTGGTAGACGGGCGCGTAACTTTGCATCCTCCAGGTTCTTTGCATTATGTTTGTTCATTTTTTTTATGCCAGAGTGACCAAAATAAAATTGATTGATTGAACGTGTCCCTCAAGCCTTGGTGATATTTAACAAGTTGGGGGTCCCGAAGTATGCGAACCAAGATGGCGGACATCGGAATGTAATATGTGTACTAGGTTAGGGTTAGGCCATAATTTTAGGTATAAATACTACGGGAGGCTCTTGGCTAGTCTTCGAACTGATAATAGGACTAAAATAAGGAAAATTGGAAAAAAATTATGGCCTAACCTGTTACCCATGTTACGTTCCGATGTCCGCCATCTTGGTTCGCATACTTCGGGAGCACCAACAAGTTTTTATTTGGCTTACAGTAGGTCCCAAGAAAACGTCATCAATTACAAAATTAAAAAAAAAGAAGATTTACGCTGACTGTTGAACCAAGGTTTGGAAGTTCAACTTGACAAGTTGATAGACACAAGGATTAGTTTGGTCCTAACTTTGGTTTGACACTTTTACTGTATTGTTTGTACTAACACAAGACATTTTTATGATACCTGATTTTCAACTCAATCATTTTTATTAATGGTTTTGTGGCCAAAGATTTCTTTTGAAGCTAAAAATAGGCCACAAGGGACTACAGTTGACTATGACTATACCTGTATGAATATTCCTTCTATCATGGTGGTAAATTGCTTTAAAAGTCAATGGGTAGTGAAAGAGATATAAGAGTTCCATTATTATTTTAAACAATAAAATCGTATATAAAAAATACGAAAAATAATTTCCATAGGATTTCAGTTACAGGAAAGATAAAAAGGTTGTGGTAGGGGTTCCAATCTACAATAAACCTTTATTTTAAACAAGTGGTTCCCAAGAGGCCCAAGCAGTTGGAGAGTGCCACAATGCCAGGCGCAAAACTGATTTTAATATTCACTTTATAAAAAAAACTCCCTGTTCTTCCTAGTTTCAATGCTTGATAAGGTTATTTCACAGGGTGTTTTCACTTTGTTGAGCTTGAATTGTTAGAACATGATGAGAATTAGGATCTACCAATCATAATAACACTCCAAATACAACTGTAATGTTAAGTATTGCTATTGCTACAGTATCTTCGCAGTCATTGTCTTCTAACACAAAGGCAGAGAGAAAGGTGCATAAATTCTGACATAAAGGTACACACTACTCATATTGGGATATTTGATACTCTGAAATCTAATAATAGATGATCACACAAAAGACTTACATATTTATCTCGAAAAGTACACCCTCACTCTAATTTCAGAATCTGGATATTAGATTACTATTAAATTTAAAAAATCAAATGGCAGACTCTTGTATATACATTTTATTCATATTTCATTGCTGATTCTAAATCCCATTGATTTCTTATATACAGCATGGGACAGGAGCCCTGTGACCTACCTGGTCTTGCATACTGACCCTCGCAAATAATGGTCGACCGATTATTGTGAAATTATATTTTTTCCTGTTGATTCAAATGTATCATAGTGTTGACATTGTTTGTGATAGGATAGGATTTACATATTTATCCCGGGGGAGAGGAAAGCCAATAAGACGGCTTATCCATATGGCGAACCACGGCCTGTCGTCCGGTTACCATTCCAAGTCGGGTATGGGATTAGTTATATTGTTTGTTTTCGGAAGCATGAACTTGGTGGTGGAGGAAGCCGTAACCGACCAGCGGTTACGTGAACCACCCAACGACGGCGAGGAGTCCAGCAATCCTCTCGCACATAACCATCCCTGCATGGGATTCGAACCTGCGAACCCACGCAGATTATTAGAGGTGCGGTGGCGAGCGTATTCCTAACGCTTAGCCCGTTGAGCCACACCGCCGCGCCAATCTCTCTCTCTTTGATACTTTATATTTGTTACTTATCATAGGGGATCACACAAATTATCCAATCTTTCTAGATTCTTTCATAGCCAGGTACGGTACCGTACAAGCAGACAGGCGTTGAGAAAGGATAATTTATTTTGAACACACAAAAACTGACAACACAAAATAAATATACATGACAAACACACGGGACTGCGGGACGGAAATTAAACCGCATGACTAATAATGCTCTTAATACTTCTATTACTTCGCTTTCCGACATCATGACGGAATCTAATACCGTTCCTTAAAAAGAATGGTACAGGAATAAAATAATACCGTACTTTTTGTTTGTTACTGTACCGTAACGAACCCACAGTCGACACCCACAGTTTTACTGGGGATTGGCATCGTGTTTTCACATGGGGAAGTCCCAGGTAAGACTGTGAGATCGAACACGTAGCCTACCCGTACCGTTACTTTTGTTTCGCAATTTTGGATAGGATAGGATAGGATAGGATTTACATATTTATCCCGGGGGAGAGGAAAGCCGATAAGACGGCTTATCCATATGGCGAACCACGGCCTCTCGTCCGGTTACCATTCCAAGTCGGGTATGGGATTAGTTATATTGTTTTGTTTTCGGAAGCATGGACTTGATGGTGGAGGAAGCCGTAACCGACCAGCAGTTACGTGAACCACATAATCGCACATAATCATCCCTGCATGAGATTCGAACCTGCGAACCCACGCAGAGTAATTAGAGGTGCGGTGGCGAGCGTATTCCTAACGCTTAGCCCGTTGAGCCACACCGCCGCGCCGAATTGTTGGTCATTAAAACTTCACTTTAGATTTTTGTATACCGATAATCGCGATTTTTGTTTTATTATTGAAATCTTCATGAATATATTGTCTACTTTAGCTAGTGGCAGTGATTTCCCTACACCCCCCCTATAGGGGGTGAACACCCCCCTAAAATTTCAAACACCCCCTCTAATTTTGAGGTGCGATTCGACACTGTTATTCCCAGGTGCGATTTCACAGTCCACACTGTAATTCCTAACTCAATTATATTTGCATTCAAATATAACGACTATGGAATATTTTTCAGTGTAGACGAGGTGTTCCAAACCGCAGTCCGCGGGCCAATTACGGCCCGCGTAACGATTTAAAATGGCCCGCCGAACTTGAGTGAAATAGTTTAACACTTCATGTGGTACCTTTTGAGTTTTAGATTCCGTCTATCGTTACATCATTATCACAGTTTAAGCACGATTATTTCGTAACTATTGAATTATACCGGTATCTTATGTATACGTATGGGTATTAGGATTACACACCGCAGTATTTTAGATATTAGCCATATATATATTAAGAAAGCTTAAAGATGTCACAAAACGAAAACTAGGCACTGTAAACAGACATTTTGTAGATGAATGGCAGTGTTTTTATTTCTTTATTGGAAAAAATCAAACTTCAGCGATTTGTCTTCCTTGCCAACAAAATATTTCAGTTCTGAAGGAATACAACATTATGCGCCATTATGATCAGTTGACGCGCGTATTTCAAAATTTAATTCATTGCTTGATTCGTACAAAAGTCAAACAAAAATGTTCAAAAAATGTAAAATGTGTAACAAAACAAGCCATAAGTAGTCATTCATACGATGCCATATGCTAGATGAGCAGGTAACTTCATTAGTCACTATAAGTTGTAAATTACTTGCTAAAAGCCGTGCTTGTTATTTATTTCCCGGGAATTCTATCAGCTAAATATTACTTTCATTACATAACAAACTGCGATGCTAGGTTAATCTAAAATCAAGCTTATAGCCTATTTTGGTGCCTATCTCTCAAAATTTTATCAGGGCGCTTAAGCGCGCCCTGAACCCCAGCCGTGTCGTCGCGCACTTTTCGCTCGCCTTTTCTGGCCCTACATTTTTATTCTGCTGTGTATTTTGGCTCGCCGTCAATCAACTTGGGAGACCCCTCATGTACATTGTTTCTTAAATACATACCCATTTTTTTGAAAGTACAAATAGTTTCATTGCAATAGCAGATTATTTTCCACCCCCTAAACTTCGAAACACCCCCCCTAAAATGAAAAGCTGGGGAACATACTGGCTAGTGGGACAGCGGATGTCTCCGACGAATCTCTCCCATAAGAGAGGCATCGAATGTTGGTAGGATGGTGCATTTTATTAAAAGTTTGTTGAAGATTTTCTTGTTCATCGCGCGATAGGAAAAGCAACAAGATGGCTGAATTGATTTTTCCAACTTGTTGAATTGAATTTCCAAGCGGTTGCGTGTCTTTACACGTCGGAGGTCATCAAAATATAGGGAGAAAGAGATGAGATGCTGATGATGGGATAAAGACTATCACCCTATATGTTTAAGTTCGATTCCCGCGTTGTTGTTTTGACACGCGTTATGGAATGTGACTCCAATCTGGACTCCTTCAGACGATAATAAGCACACAGTGTTGGTGCTAATCGTTGTTGTATATTATAGGAAGATGCACAATCCAAATTCCGAAAACAGATAAAATTGAGACACACTTAACTCTTAACACAGTAAATCAGAAGTGAATCAAAACACATCACACTTAACGCAGTAAAACAGAAGTGGATCTAGACCAGTGCTCTTCAACCGGGTATACTGTATACTTAAGTGTATACCAGACCATAAGTAGGGTATACAACTGATAAAGGGTATACGAAGGGTATACAGCTGATGAAGGGTATACGAAGGGTGTACTGTCTAAATCAAGAATTCTGAGCTCTAATATAATAAATTGTTCAATTAGAGACAACAATGCAAACGCGGCGCACATGAAATAGAAAATGTGTTTCACGTAATAGACCGACTTGAGCACATTGTTACATCACAAATTATATAGATAACAATGGCACGTGCCTGGGTTGATGATTTCTGCTGCCATGCTCGTCGCTTGATATACGTTTACGACTTGCGGACAGTATCCCACTGGATTTCAGTATCGCCAGTTGCAATGTCTTTGTTGAAATACTTTGGAAATGATAATAATGAAGAAACCGAATCTGTCTCAGCCTCATCGTCTTCAGATAGCTTTCCTTCTGCGAAGCGCCAGAAAACAACACTGAAGAGACGAAATGGAATGATGATTACATAAATCTCGGATTTTGTCGCCCAAAAGGCGAAGAGGAAAATTGTTATTCATCTGCCCAGTGTCTTTTTTGTTCGACCATTTATGGCAATGTGAATGTTGTTCGATCGAAGCTATTGAATCACCTTATAAAACAACATCCAGAACATCAAAACAAATCTGCGAAGTTTTTTCAATTACATCTGGCTGCGCAGAAAAAACAGAGCAATGCGTTCTATACTCAAATTAGACACCAATCAACTCAGAACAATAACCTATTGTTGGCATCATTGAAGATGTCACATCACATGATGAAAGTTAAACGCCCGTACACAGAACTTGAACGTGTAGTGCTACCTTGTTTAGAAATTGTGGCTGACTTGATTCATGGTGGAACAAAAGCAGTTGACAAGGTCAAAAAAATTGCTGTTTCTGACACTACTATATGGCGACGATGTGCCGTTATATCCGCAGATTTAAAAGAACAACTAATTCAGAAGTTACTAGAAGCCTCCTCCTTTGGCATTCAGTTGGATGAAAACACTGATATAAGCAGTGAGTCTCAGCTCATGGTGTTCTGTAGATTTCCGGACATAAAATCTAACAGGATAGTTGAACATTATCTATTTTGTCAACCAGTTGGAGAAAAGGCAACTGCTGAAGCAGTTTTCAATAAAATAAACGAGTTCTTTGAAGAAGAAGGGTTAGATTGGTCAAAGTGCAAATCGGTTACAACAGATGGAGCAGCAGCTATGCGAGGCTCACAGAAAGGTTTGATCGAGAGAATTAAGCGAAAGTCTCCAGAATGCATAGGAATTCATTGTATTCTCCACCGCGAGGCATTAGTAACAAAGAAACTTGAACTGAATGCAGGTGACGCTAGTGGTAAAGAAAATGAATTACACGATGTTCTACGGGAGGTCGTATATTTTGTGAATACGATTAAGAAAAGTTCAAAACAAACGAGACTTTTCTCGAAACTATGCGAGGAAACAGCCGCCACTTCCAAAAAACTTCTTTTACATTCAGAAGTACGGTGGCTGTCCCGAGGAAAAGTTCTTTCTCGTGTGTTTGAACTTCGAGAACAATTAGGGGCGTATTACACTGAACGAGGAGACCAAAAAGCCAACAGGTTTCGTAATATATATTGGATTGCAAAATTAGCGTACATGGCGTCGATTTTTGATCGTTTGAATCAAGTGAACGTCAGTCTTCAAGGGAAGGGAGGTGATATATTTCGATCGACTAGCAAAATCAATGCTCTGAAGATGAAAATTCAACTCTGGAAAAATAATGCTTCTTCGGGAAACTTCATTGACTTTCCCCTGTTAAGTCAATATTTGAAAGAGTCTGGGTGGGAGTTTGAGGACGTTTCAACGATAAATACCATGGTTACCCTCATTGTTGGTGATTTAAACTTACTTGGTGATAAATTGGCTTTGTACTTTCCTGAAGATAATGACAGACGTTTAGAAGAAAACTCGTGGGTAATGCAGCCATTTACTAGTGAACCAACAGAAGACGAAGAATTGTTGGAACTCCGGGAGGATTTAAATCAAAAAATTTCATTTCGCGAAATGTATTACTCAGAGTTTTGGGTTTCTCTTTTTGAATTTCCCGAGTACAAAAATCTGGCGGAAAAAGCCATCGCTCTCCTGGTGCAGATGCCCACGACTTATTTGTGTGAAGAAGGGTTTTCCAGTCTTGTTGAAATCAAGTCAAAAAAGCGAAACTCAATACTTGATATTGATTCACTAATGCGGGGAGCAATTGAAAAAGAACTAAAACCCCGTTATGAACGAATTGCCGAAACTATGCAAGAACAAAGAAGCCACTGAAACTAAATTAACATTGTCTTTACTACGTTTTTTACACATTTGGGTGTTAAATTAATTGCGTCTGTCAGTAAAAACTAAAAGAAGCATTTATAATGACTCGCCCCGCCACTTCGATTTTAGTTTTTATACAATCTGTTCCTAACATTTATTGCTCATTTTAGCTTTAAATAAACATTGGTAATTGTAAGGTATACAAAGTTCTCGTAAATTGTAAAAGGTATACCACGAAAAAAAAGGTTGAAGAACACTGATCTAGACACAATATTATGCAGCCCTCTCGGCAAGCCGGAACGATACGTCATCAAATTGGTCGATACGAGAAAGGCAGTACATGTAATCAGTAATCAGTGTTGCTACAATAAAATGACCTATTGTGGGAAATGGAACACACTATTAAAATGAAAGGGTTAAATACATTATAATTCATAGTTACACAATGCACATTCGCTACAATATATAAGAATTGCTAATATGAGTTTGCAATGCGATGAAATCCCATCTTGGCATTTCTGCCTCTCGCAATTGCTGCGTATACTTATCGGGGAAGTTCTGTGGCGTGGTTATCAAATGAAAAAAAAAACATGGAAGTATTTTTTCTACTTCTCTACTACTATCAAACCATGACATTTTGTGAAAACTTTTTTCCATGCAACTTTTTTTTAAAACATCCCCCACACGCGCAATTAATTCTGTTATTAAACTTCCGAACCAAACACATAAAATCATCAACAGATGCATATCACCAAGTAGATATTGCTGAATTGATCTATATTTTACCATCTTTCACGTAATTCTTTTTGGTAAACCTGTTATCTATCGCAAATACAGCACATTTGACAATGTTGTAGTGTGACTATTTTGGCCTCACATTTTTGATATTTGTAGTTAGAGCTCCTGGGGCTGGGGCTCTGTCAAACAAAGTTACATACAAAATATTGGTTGTAAATTGCAAAACATGATCATGTTGTTGGAATAACTTGGCATTTTACCACCCGTATACCATTCATTGTTGAGAATATTATTAAAATCATGAAATTTTAAAATCCGTATAAAATTCATTGTTAAGAATATTATTAAAATCATAAAATTTTAAAATCCGTTTTCGCGAAATTTTCGTTGTAGCTGAATTCCAGGGACAGCATGACAACAGGCAAGAGAAGCACGGTCACCTCTTTATGACACGGTTTCTTAAAACGGGACCCCGTCCTCCTTGGAGGCCGTTGATCGGTTATCTGGGAGCACGAACAAACAGATGAAAAAGCGAATATATCATAACAATGTATTTTTATAGAAGAAAAGAAGCAAAATTGTTGAATGTCTTTGGTAGTTTGAAAAGCATTGGCATGGAACATAAAAATGAACTACATTCTTTCCCAGGGATATACTATAAAATGTAGCAATTTTCTCATTCTTGTTCTCGTGATATCATTATCTTTCACTGCGTCGTCGTGATCATCCCGCTGCATAACAATTCTCGCTAACAAATAATTGACTGTTCTCCACCGGGTGTATATCCACTTCAACCACTGGCGGCTACATTAGCAGGCTTGTATTGTTAATTGCAACAAAAACGGGTATTTTTAAATAGTACTCTTTACACGTATGTTTTGACAGTATATGTTTCCATATACTGTATATGGGTCGCGACCCAAAGCTGGGCTCAACAAATACCTAAAAGTTATTGATTTTATTTCCTAGTAAATTTGGTGCTTGCGTAGTTTGTGCACCAAGATTGCGCACAACCTGAACATAGTATTGTAACAGGTTATGGTTCAGGTTGTGCGTCATTATGATGCACAGGTTTGACGAAAAACACTAATACAAATATCGAGCCGTAAAAAAAATTGCTCAAGGCTGCAAACTCCACACTCATGTAGAAATGATGGGCAATGACCCCAAGATGAATATTCACAAATAAAAAAAACTTTGTCTGAAATCAAACTTGGGTCAAAAAGGTCCCCTTATCTGCCGGACTAAAGGTCCATCATCAGCCTATACTGATCAACAATACAACATGGTATAAATTGTATGTTCGAACTTCTCACATATTGTACCTACTTAAATATTTTCGCCCAAATTATTTTCTGTGTTTTTTTTTTTCTTGCTCACTTCAATGTGTTGTTCGCTATTTGGGAGCAAGTGGGAACGTTCATCCGCAATCTCAAATTTTACTACTTTCCTGATTTTGCGTATATTTGTTTGTTTTGCCCTATATTACTTCTTCGTTTTGTTGGAACAGAAAATCGAAATGATCTATATATTTCTGTTATCGTGATGACTGTTTATTTTTATTGATGAAACAACAAATTAACCCTGTCCAATTATTACAATGTGAATCTTTAATGAAGCACGTTGAAAGAATTTCCAAGTCAATGCATCTGAAACAAACAACAGACTGACTAACTTCATACTCGACACGGACTGGAAATTGGATGAGAGGCCGTGGTTCGCCATAACATTAAGCCGTCTAGCCACCTTTCCTCTTCCTGAGGTAAATATATAATGAATCTCATTTACAAGGCAGTTAACAACTACATGAAACGAGAACATGGCAAAAAAGACAAATATTTTCATCAGGGCTTTGCGTCTATCAAGACAAATTGAAATAAAACCACTTTTTTCTTTTTCTGCAAAAACAAATGCAGACCTTTGCTAGTCATGAAGACTTGAACAATTCCATTTGTTTTTATTAGTTAAAATAAGATTGCACTTAAAAAAAAACTGCACCAAAAGTAATTTGAATGATACTCTTAAACCCAGTCATCTGATATGCTTTCCTAACCTCCCCCCACTTTATGTGAATATGATAATTTCGCAATATAATATATAGGCTCGGCGGTGTGGCGCATCGTGCTAAGCATTACACTCTCCACTGCACCACCGATTACCCAGTGTAGGTGCTGGACTCCGTGCTGTAGGGTGGTCCACGTAATCGCTGATCTGTTACAGCTTCCTTCACGATCCAGTTCAAGCTCCCAAAAACACACAACTAGCCATCTAACACATACCCGACATGGACTGGGAGACGTGACATTTTTGATGTACGGAGTAAGATGACATACGTAATCATACGAAGGGCCAGTCCATGTCACGTAGAAGAATTGCTAAACAGTCACTCGTTCCAGGGAGCCCAGATAAATATTAGACAAAAACCGGCTAAAATTGGTAAATGAACCAATCTGGGAAAAGTTAGAATCTTCATGTGGGATTCAAATTAATGAACCTATTCTGTCTGATCCAGTGATTTTTTTTGTCAAATGACAAGTCCTGCCCCTCTTGAAGACAAATAGGTAAAATTCTCTCACCATACAGTTTCGACACAATGTTACAGTACTTTTTAATACTCTATCCAATTAAAGAGTCCAGCTGCACACTAACACAAATGTATTTCTGTAACGTTTCGACCGACCAGAGTCAGACAAGCAGTTTACAACAATTGATTTGTGTTAGTGTGCAGCTGGACTCTCTAATTGAATAGAATAGTCATGTTTATTCCAGCTACAGTATCCTTGCAGTATACGCATCCACTAGCATAAAGAAAAGACAGGAAGTTAGTCTCGCGCAACCCAACTCAAATTTACTTTTTAATATGACGCCCCATTTGCTCTAAACAATGCCCTATATAAGCGACCACCAATATAAAGACGTGATTTAACAAAATATAATTGGAATAGATTTGTTTTACCCTCACACATAAAATTGATAAAATCGTTCCCACACTACTCGAAAATCTCCAAGCTCCTTATTGTCCTTCCCTTTTTAGCAGCTTGTCTTCCCTGTTATCAGTTCAAATTATTTTGGACAATTATCAACCACCCAACCTGGTATTCAGAGAAGAAAACTGGAGTTCACCGCACAATAAATAAATGTTACCTGGCTATCCCTCTCTTCCACATTAAGCACACAAGGCACTTTTAAAATCATAAAACATGATAGTGATGGGATTTGATAATCATCATTGCGAAGAGGCATAGTGGCTAAATGTTTGAGCCAAACTAAGCCAGCAATTAAGATTGAAAATTTAAATTCGAAAGCTTATGCTGACACCCCACCCAGGATATGAACTGAAGAGGCGATGCTGAAACCAAAGGATCCTGAACCTTCCAGATTAGAATTGTTTTTTTGCATAGCAGCGAATATTTGTAAATTACATTGCTCAGAGTAAGGGTGTTGAAAAAGTACTCTCGTAGTATGTGCAAGAAGATCACGGATACCGTAACGTAGTGTAGTATGTGTACCAGATTAGGGTTGAGCCATAATTTCAGGTACAAATACTACGGGAAGTCATTTGACTAGTCCCTGAACTCTTAATAGAACTAAAATAAGGTAAATTGGATTGAAATTATGGCCTAACCCTAACCTGATACACATACTATGTTCAGGTGTCCGCCATTTTGTTGCACATACTACGGGAGCGCCGTTGAAAGTGCCTCAGAAAAATAGAATTATTCATATAATAAGCTTTTTCTCTCACGCATGAAATAGATAAATTACTCAAAAATCTCCATGCATAATCGTCCTTCCTTTTTTAGCAGCCTGATGTAAATTAGGCGGTAGTTTCCAAATTTTATGTTTTCCTGTTACCGGTACTTTAACTAGAAGTTCTTCAAAGCCAGAGCAGACAAAAACGTATGGAGACCCGGACTCGCCGTTCGGATACGCGGAACGGTACTCCTCTTGGCTCATAACGTTGTCCACATTAATGCAACCAAGTAAACAAGATGTTGGGTATTCAGTCGGGAATACAACGTCGTTATCAACGTAGTTTCTATGCTGGTCTTCTATCTGTTTTACTTCCTCAGGGGTCGGTTTATGTGATGCTGCGGCTATCCATAGCCTGCCTCTGTGGTTGGAATACCTGGAAATATTTAATAATAATTGGGCGCTCCAGAAGTGTGTGTACCAATATGGAGGTAGCTAATTTTGTTCGCCTACTTTACATCAAGTTGTGTGAAGGGACTGAAACCTATGGGCATAAGTATATTCACTTGGCTAACACAGACAGTCCCCGAATTCGTAATAGAACTAATATAGGAAAAATCGGAATAAAATTATGTCCTAACCCTAACCTGATACACACACAGTGAGAGTACTCAAATTCCAATATGAAGTCTCTAAAAGGGACAAGAGAAACTCAAATAAGATTTAAGAAGTGAATCCAACATAAAACACTTGATGAGAAAATCTTCAAAAGTTTTCCTAAGCTTATTCATTCTAAATAAAACTACAGGGCACTCAGAATTCTTACTCTGAGGGGTTTGGGACTATAACACTCGGCTTTGGGGGTTGGGGGTTAAGAGTGGGACTTTAAGCTGAATAATGGGATAAGATTTACATATTTATATCGGGGGAAAGGAAACCGATGAGCCTGTTAATCGGGTGGCAAACCACGGCCTGTCGTCCAGTTTCTAATCTGTGTCGGATATGGGATTAGTTAGCAGTTATTTGTATCAAAAGTCGGTCACGAACATCGGAAATAAAAAATTAGGGATTTTTCAACTTTGCTTTTAATCGCTAAAAGTAGTTTGGTGTAGATTTACTCAGGTGAACTCCCTACTTACAAATACTATATTCTGAAATCATTTCCAAGTATGTGGCATCCAAAATTCATTCTCTGGGAAGTTTGAAATACACAAATATCGCATACAAATTATATGTGCAATTTAATCAATCAATTAAACTAATTAATCGTTCAAAGTAGGGAAACATGTGCTCTTGAAGTATGCGCACCAAGATGTGTTGTGCGCCTTTCAGGAGGTCCAACATTTCTAAACTGTACCCGTATATTTCATTCGGTTGGGCTTTTGATAGAAGTCACAATCAGAAAATAACAGGGATAGGATAGGATTTACCACCCTACAGTGGCGAGGAGTCCAGCAATCATCTTGTACATGATTATCTCCGGACCTCCTGAAGTATGCGCACCAAGATGGCGCACAACATGAACTCCGGTTGTGTACCAGGTTAAGAGTTCAAGTTATGTGACATCTTGGTGCGCATACTTCAGGAGTACCTTATCCCCGCATGGGATCCGAGCCTGCAAACCCGCGCAGAGTAATCAGAGGTGAGTTGGCGAGCATATTCCTAACGTTCAGCATGGAGTGCCACACTGTCAAGCCATGAATCATCTCGCACATAATTAACTCGCATGGGATTTGAACCTGTCAACCCATGCGGGGTAATCACAGGTGAGTTTGCGAGCGTATTCCTAAACTGAGTTAAGGTTGTGCGCCACCTTGGTGCACATACTTCAGGAGGTCCAACATTTCTATACTGTATCCATATATATCATTTGGTTGGGCTTTTGATAGAATAGAAGTAACAATCAGAAAGTAACAGGGATAGGATAGGATTTACCACCCTACAATGGCGAAACCTGCAAACCTAGCGAGGTGATCACAGGTGAGTTTGTGAGCGTATTCCCAACGCTTGGCACGATGCGCCATACCAGCTAGCAATATTACTCTTACCATGTTCTTCCCTCGTCTTTCTTGATGCCTTTGACAAGCAAGGAAGCCCACGGCTGATGCATACTCAAACATAAGCCCATATCAGACATTTGCTGTAATTCTTTATCTTGAAGTCTATTTAGAGGATGTCTTTGTATTTTTTCTTGTTTTTTCATACTCCCAGAGGGGGATTTCCCATTTTCAGGTGTTTTATTTTCTTTACCGATAAATTTTGGCATTGGTAGGTCAGGGAAGGCATCTTGGAGCGAGGGGTCGTACGCTTGTTTTTCATCTGCGATCTGGGCCAAAAATTCTTGCTCAGCACCCTCTTGTGGTGGCGCATAATCTTCATCTATAACTTTTCGCCCAGCAAAATCAAGCGTCACCTGTTTAAATCGTTGATAAATAAAGCGATATCTATATACAGTTATGGAAGTTTAGATTAGTTTGGTTGTTCCTAAATCTTTATATGGAGGGAGATTCAAAAAATCTTCGGCCAATCGAAATCAGCGTTTATATCACAGGTTCTTAAAATGGTTTGGTACTGCATGAAAAAACAAACCAGGGGCTCCGCGAGCTAATAGTTTACTTGTTGAAATACTGAATTGGGTAATTTTGTAACTGTGTTTCGGAAACTTAGATATGAATCAGATAATTAATTCAATGATCACTCGGTCTTCCTTGGAATTTTTATTCAATTGCAGTAACAAAAAACTAGTGTAGAAATAGCTGTGATAGACTAGGCTAAAATTCTTTACCGGTAGTTTTAAAAAACAGATTGTTATATGCGATGAATCATAATGATGGTTTGAAACACATACGCCATTTTACAGGCGCCAACTCGCGAAAGCACTCTTAAAATAGTCCTGAAAATTTTGCAATGGTAAAGTATAGGAAGAATTTTTCGGGGGTCAAAGGTCGGGGAAAGGTCCATTGGCAAGTAACGGAGTGTTTTTTTGTTTTTACTTATGTAATTTATTGTAGGGCTCCGTAAATAATAGTAGACTTCTTCACGGGCTCCATAACACCAAAAGTTTGAGAAATTTGGACATAAAAATAGGAAATACCCACCTTTTTATTCAACCGTGACCCAAATCTTAATTCTCTCATTTCTCTATCTTTCTTTTTCATTGCTTCTCTCTCCTTTTGACTCAGCCAAACATTTGTGTCTGTTGCGTAATAATCAGACTCGTCATCAATTACTTTTGTTCGTTTTACATACGTCCGATCATACTCTAGTAACCTGTTTTTGTATTCTTCTGCCCTCTGGAGGCCTTTAGTCGCTTCTGTAAGTAATGGGATAGGATTTTATATTTATCCAGGAGAGGAAAGCTGATAAGACAGCTTAATAATATGGCAAACCACGGCCTGTCGTTCAGTTACCACTCCATGTCTGGTATGGAATTAGTTAGTCAGTTACTTGTATCAGATCCATAGATGGAAATAGGTATAGCGATACCTTACTTTCAAAACAATATTTAGGATTTACATATTTATCCCGAGGAAGAGGAAAGAGATAAGATGGCTTAATCATATGGTAAACCACAGTCGCTCGTCCGGGATGGGATTTGTTAGCCAGTTACTTTTTTTCGGATTTTTAACTCCCTGTAGACTAGGAATTGTAGCTTTTCAATAGCCATAAAAAAGAATATTTCATATTCAAAATATTATTTCAAAATGTATTTGAAATAGTAAGCCATTCGATTTGGGCTATCTCTGATTTATACTAAGCGGGAATCATTTCAGTTCCCTGCTGACATGATCAAAATTTTGAAAGTAGATTACTGATACTTACTTTCCGAAATATTATTTAGGATTTACATATTTATCCGGGGAAAGGAAGAGTGATAAGAGGGCTTAATCATATGACGAAATACGGCATCTCGTCAGGTTACCAGTCCATGTCAGGTATAGGATTAGGTTGTTATTTGTTTCAGAAGCATGGACTTGATGGTGGAGAAAACTGTAACCAACCAGTGGTCACGTAACCACCTAACTACGGGGAGAAGACCAGGAATCCTCTCGCACATATTATCTTCCACAGGATTCAAATCCATGCAGAGTAATCAGAGGTGCGTTGGCGAGCGTATTCATGACGCTTGATGCGTGATGCAGCAATCTCCGAGTGTATTTAAGATAGTAAATCATTTGGCTTTGGGTGAAAATAGTTATATTAGGTACAAAATAAATACTGAAGAAAACTGTTTGCTAACATAGTATGAACTTTATGTCCCCAGCTACTGAGATACGACTATTTTTAACTACCTACTACTACTACTTACCTAGTATAACTTTTAACTATCTATCATCCTTACCAATATCCTCTGTTAATGATGCGCCTCCTCCAATACTGGATAATTTCTTGAGTAGTTTTTCACTTTTATTCGACTCTCTCGCAAGAATTTTCTTCTCTTCAGGAGTGCAAACCATCTTGCCTGGAAAATATCAAAAATTTCAAACCGCGTATGAGTAGTAGATAGGCCAATGATAGGCCAATTTTAACCTTGGAAACTATATTACTTAGTATCTCTCACTTAGTCTGAGATTACAAATGATAATTATTGCAGGTCGGCCTAGTTGAAGCCTAGAGGCTAGGTATCTTCATTAGATATTATTGATTTGAGCAGTGGAACCCAAACAGTGGGAAGCAACCCCAAGTTAAGATTTTCCGGTGACGCCCAACTTTCGCTGAACGTGCAATGCGTCACACACAAGTGGGTAAAATTTGAAACATGGAAATTGAGATTTGAGCTGGTCGAATAAACGCGATTGAATGATAGTCTCGTGAAATAGCAATATTCCAAAAATTTACAGACAATTTACAGTAATTTACATGTCTGGAGGACCCGTCGCAACAAAAAAGTCAAATACAATGAGATATCTTCCAATATTTGATTTGATTCTGAAATGATCAGAAATTTGAAAAAGCCTGGCCCTGCCTATTAAGAAACACTTACCACAGAAAAGACAAGGTCCAGAGCCTTCCTGCTCACAAACTACACGCCCGCACCCAAGACAATTGTTGATTAGCCTGCAACATGAACAAAATTTTTTTTTAATTTTCTACAAGCAAGACTTAGGACAAAAAAAACAAAACATTTAAAGTGATTTAGGATTATATAAAATGTTTAAGGCAGAGCCATAAATGTTCAAAGGGGGTTTGTTTCTGAAATATCTAATTGCCAAGTTAGAACATAACAGCTAGCCGAAGGCAAAAAATATGCGTTTCCATAAGTCTATAGAGTCTAAAAAGCGTTTCAAGCTACAAAAAAATTGAGAGAAGAGAAAAATGCTTTTTTTACAACTCAAAATGGGGAGTTTTCGGCCCTCAAACCACCAGGCATAAGTCATTCAGTTCTCTAGAGCCGGAGAAAATTTGTATTTAACTCTAACTCCCGATTCTGATTTGAAATAAAAGGCTTAATTAAAGTTAATAGAAAGTTCGTTCCAGACTCTGATTACCAACTCCAGAGAATATCAGACGATAATTGAAATATTAGCATGTAAATTATTGTGGCCTAGTGGTTAAGGCGTTAGGCTTAACTATAATATCATCTCAGGCTAAAATCCCATGCCCGCCATGTCTTCCAGGGCATTATAAATGGGGCAGACAATACTAAACTGGTAAGATTTCGGTCTTTCCAAGCTATAGTAAATCCTTATGTAATAGTAGGTGCCTGTGTTGATCCTTTTTGAAGAAAAAGTGTATAAATATGCTATATAAAAAGTTATAACTTACTTATGTTTTTGAGCCTGACACTCGCAGGCATTTCTCCCTGGAAGCAGAACAGCATTAGTTCTCGCTTCACCATCTTTGCCATACAATGACACATACGTCGTCTTCTTTTTTGGAGATTTTTCATTCTTACTCGCCACAGCGTCGAGCGGAGTTTTTGGTGTTGTCGCGGGTGATATATCGTCCAAGGTCATGACCTTTTTAGGCTCTTTTTTCTTCTTTGGACGCACTGACCTCTGCTCAAGGTCACTGTTGCCTGAATGCAAAATTATTGAATTGAACTATTTGTAACACTGAGATGAATCAGGCCTTGTTAGAAAAATGTTTTTTCTGGGAAATTTGCTCAAAGCAAAGCAGGAGTGAAGAAGATCCATTCCTGAGCAAAGGCTCAGTAAACCAATATTCAGGGAGCTAATGAAAATATGTAGAATTATGGTGTTGTGTCAGAGGCATAGACAGGAGGGGGGTTTGAGGGTCGAAACCCCCTTTGTTTTAAAAAAAAAAAACAGGGTTTTCTGTATCGCACATATCAATTTTTCATAGCTTGAAAGAAACGTTTTTGACCCTCAGGACTTTTGAAACCCCGTGCTTCCGGGGCCTCAGGCAGGACCCGCTCGCTGTCACGGTCTAACATGCTAATTACAAATTTCAAAACCCCTCATCCCTTTGAATAATTCTGGCTGTACCACCATGTGTATTATATTCACTCTCTCAGAAATGAAGAAGACTCATCTCTGAGCAAAGTTATGAGCAGGGACCACTGAAATACTAATCTCTTATATAAAATTATGGTTGTGCATTAGGCAGTTTGTTAAAAAGATGAAATCTGATTTGAATTTATTCAAGGAATCCGTGTTTGAAAATATAGAAGGAATCCAACATTGTAACAAAGGCATCAGCTTGTGAAGAGACTGTTTATCATCAAATCACTTATGACGGGGGTATCCTGATCATCATTTGCCTTTGCTACAAGATCGAATAACTGGGACAGAAATGGCCAAAACCAAATGGATTATCGTAAATACAAATTTTGAGAATAATTTGAATCTGTGTTCAAATTTTATTTTAACACAACCCTTCGTAATTTAGCATAGCCAAATTTTTTCGCGCCCCTATCCTCCCAGGAACTAAAATAAAAACCTAATAGAAAACATTGAAAAATTTATAAAACTGACAATATTTTTATTGAGACCAATGTTGCATATTTGCGTAATTGCATTTTTCGTATATAAGACCAATTTTTTGCTCTATATCGGGGGTGAGTATCATCAGCACCTGTTCAAAATCTTTCAAACTTGGTCAATATTTTGTTTTAACATAAGTTAGTGCCGAAAATTTTTTACTCCGACCTCCATTGACCCGACCCACATGGGGGTCAGGACCCCCACTTTGAGGAGCCTCGATAGACTGTTAGAAGAAGTAAACATTCGGGGCTCCTGAAGTATGCGAACCAAGATGGCGGACATCGGAATGTAATATGTGTACTAGGTTAGGGTTAGGCCATAATTTTAGGTATAAATACTACGGGAGGCTCTTGGTTAGTCTTCAAACTGATAATAGGACTAAAATAATGAAAATTGGAAAAAAATTATCGCCTAACCCTAACCTGTTACGTTCCGATGTCCGCCATCTTGGTTCGCATACTTCGGGAGCACCAAACATTCTTTACAAAAACAAAAGCAATAAGTTTAATGAGCTTTTTAAACATTCAAACAATCTTATTGGCTTTCCGTTGCGGGGAAAATATGAACTGCTATCCTGTAACTTATATATTACATACCTTTTTTATACACTGTCACATTTTCCTGTACTGCACTTCGTTTCGCAGTCAATAAATTCACAAATAATTCGATATCAGGGGATTTCCCCTCCCCACAGAGTTGTTCAAGATATTCTTTGACTTCATTTTTATCTTGTATTTCCAGAATATAGTCAGTGTACGCTCGCGGTGTGTCTGGACCAAGTAATTTGCATATTTCGTCATAGACCCATTCAGCTAGGGTTGCCATATTTATATTACTGAGGTAGAGCTGAGTAAATGTAGAAAAAGGTTGAAAGTTGAACTGAAATGATCAAAACAAATTGAATATTGGATTGAATTCGTAGGAATACATTAGAAAATGGTCATATTCAATTTAGTCATCTTGACTTTAGAAATAAGTCAGAGCACTTTGATTGGCGCTCCAGAAGTATGTGCACCGAGATGGCACACAACCTGAATCCTAACCTGGTACACGTACTATATTCAGGTTGTGCGCCTTCTTGGTGCACATACTTCAAGAGCACCCTTAAATTTTATTGTTTATCGGCATAAATAATGTTTTCTCAAACACGAGAAATACTTTTAAACAGTGCACTTGTCAACACAAGTAACAGAATATAAAGTCCGACATAAGACACATGTTGCCTCTGCTATACCAATGTACTGAACGACCTTTGAAGGCCATCATGGCGGTATTTATGACCAGGAAGCACGCTTCAGTGGTTTTACCCATTAACGCCATACCATCATTCTGTTCTGTCATTGGTCAGGAAAAGAGTGGGAAATGGAATTAGAACCCAGTTATTCCAAGTTGACAATCACCTGGACAAAATGTAAATGAGAACACACAAGTTACCAATAACTATCAGGATTAACATTTAAAAACTGAAACAAATTTGAAAATTTCATCAAAACCATCGAAAATATAAATTGAATCCTATGTGTTCTCAGTTGAAAATGGCCCAATTTAGGATGTACCGGTGCCCGATATGCCCGTATTCAAAGATATTTTGGTGCTCCCCAAGTATGCGAACCAAGATGGCGGACATCGGAACGTAACAGGTTAGGGTTAGGCGATAATTTCTTTCCAATTTTCCTTATTTTAGTCCTATTATCAGTTCGAAGACTAGCCAAGAGCCTCCCGTAGTATTTATACCTATAATTATGGCCTAACCCTAACCTAGTACACATATTACATTCCGATGTCCGCCATCTTGGTTCGCATACTTCGGGAGCCCCGATATTTTTTTAGAATCTATTTGGAACAGTAAAGTATTAAGTTTCGATCACTCTCATGTGAAGTCTTAAAAGTCAATTTAAAAATGAATAGACACCAACAATAGGGCCTTACTTTGAATAGCTCAAAAAACAAGTAAATAATGGCTAATAAAACGTGATTTTGGAAAAAAAATTCATCCAAGCGAGCTGACTACTAAGCTTCAATCACACTCTGCAAAGGATAAGTCTACCTACCTAGTGGTGAAAAATTCCAATGACAAAATTTTAAAATATGACATTATACGAAGAATTAAAAAAGCCTTTCGATGGAGGGCAGGGTTAAATTTTTTTTAAACTTTCCCAGAGAAAGGAACTCATAAAAGAAATACAAAATATACAGTCACAAAAAAGAAGACTAACAAAAAACAGGTTTACTTACACAAGTGATTCAAATTACCTAATAGTAGTAAATAAACAACAGATACTGTGACACAGTGGATCAAATTGACTAGGTTTTGAGAATAAAAAATGATAATTTAGTAGTTTTTTTTCCATTAATGATAAACTCAAAAAATGAAAAAAAATTTAGATTTTGAATTTTTGATTACGACAATATAAAATGTAGCATAAAAGACATACCAGTACATAAAAAATGAAGAAAACTGTAACATACTTATCCCTATAAATTTGTGCAGGTATCTATTCTGAAATAAATAGTCCCCAATGTTGATTGACAGGGGAGCCAAAATTAGAAGCAGAAGGATATTCACGAGCCAGGAAAGGGGTGTGATAGCAGTACCAGTGCGTATATTTAAGATACCGGTATAACTGAATTGTTATGAATATATACATGCTTAAACTGTGATAATGATGTAACAATTGGCAGGATTTAGAACGCAAAAAGGTAAAAACATAAGTGTTAAACAATTTCACTCCAGTTCGACGGGCCATATTAAACTGTTACCAATTACCACCCGTGCTTTGGGAATCACTGCCGTAAAGTGAAAAGTACTTAATCTGTTAAATCAATTAGACCAGTAATCTCTGAAAAAAGTGATTTTTTTGTAGCAATAACACCAAGTTATTCAATAAGACAAACAACAATAGAAACAACTCAGCAAAATAATACATCTGTTTACTTTGTGTCTTGAAAAAAAAAATTTTTTTGAAAAATGAAAAAAAAATGGTAACATGATATGGTGATGGTCCAAGTAAGTTATTGCATAATTCAAGCTGGCACTGTTTATCGAAGGAAAAATGAGATGCACATAAGTATATAGCATGTACATAAACTACTGGTTGATAACTAACTAAGTTGATAACTCAGCACCGTGGGGACATAACAAAATAAATTGACAAAATGATTGTAAAATTGACCTAAGATTGCACAAAACAATTTTTTAATTAAATCATAAAATTTTATGGCAGCATTCAAAGAAGAGCTATAAATATGATTGGTCCAAAAGCCAACCTCGAGTTTGCAATATCTTTCTAATGGTTGAATATTGCTTCGCTCGTATATTCTCGCGTATACAGTATATGAGCCAGAAAAAAGTTGCCAACTTAGGAATCGGGGCTTATCTGTGCATAACTCTGATTGCACTAATTCTCTCCTGCAACCATTTGCAGCGTGTTACGATTTGTAAGGTCGGTTTATACCGTTTTAAGGGGAGCGGCTTACATGCGGGGATATACGAGGTTCATTTATAAATATCAATAAAGATTTAGCTTGTCATAACTTTTATTCTCTCGATAAGACGATTTTCCTCTTCCATTTGCTGATATGCTGATTTGTTCATTTTGATTCATTTTTAGTTAGTATTATATTATGAATGCGTATCGTAAATATCAACTAAATTTAATTTCATCAATTTTTGAAATTCTACAATTTGGCAATATTTTTTAATTGGCTTCGATGGCAAAATTTATTTTGGGAAAAATTTTCCGACATTTTTGTCAGTCTCATTACAGTTCATGCTTGGATAACTTTGGTCCCGATTTCTTATTTTTCTTTTTTGCAGCAAGTTTCTCCTTCCGCTTTTTATCTTCATATTCTTTTTGTCTTTCTTCCTCAGTTTTTTGATCGACTTCCGGTTTAATTTTAAACGGATTTTCATAACTTGGGTCAGGTTCGTCAATTTTTAATTCCTGTCCTAAACTGTGCAAAATTTTTTGATGTTTTTCAGTAAAAACGCCGCTTTTTTCGCATACATTTTTACCCCATATTATGGTTTCTTTCCAATCAGTATTTTGTTTTAATTCTCGTTGTGCCACGAACGGGAAACGAACTATTAAATCAGTGAATAATGCAGTGTTTTCTAACACCATTGAAAAACCTTCTTTAGTTTCGATTTTCTCTGGAAAGGGGTCGCCAGCTTTGTAATTTTCCTCCATTAAGATTTGCTTACCTTTGACGATCGTCTGTAAAGTTTAGAAATAAATTGAAAGTTCATAGTCTAGTTTTTTTTTCCAACCAGAAAAAAATATCACACAACCACGAAAAAATGATAAATACAGTATTTCCCGGCGAATATGTCTACTTGGCAAATAAGACGAAGCCTATTGTTAGCACAGAAAAAGCATACACAGGGAGTGCTTCATTGCACCCGCCACGTTTTTAAAAGGAATAAGACAAATAACAGCTGTTAGTACTAAGTCAATTAAATAATCTTGATTGGCAGACACTTTGGCGACGGCGAATACATTATAAAATATATCAACCCAAGTATGAAGCTTTCACAAATCATGTTTGAGAAGACTAGTGTGAACAATAAGGCGAACTCAAGAAAAAATACAATGAGCATAGCCCCTAATAAGACGGCCCCCATGATCAGAGCAAAAAATTTGTTCTAGAAAAGCGACTTAATAGCCGGGAAATACGATTCACAATTTTACTGGGGAAGGGAAGTCGTGGGGGACCAAAGCTGTTTATCGAGCAGCGATTCAAAAAGTTTGGAATTTTGGAGTTTCAAAATGACTGATATTGACACGGAGTATCGTACGAATTATCTAACTAACACCGCTTACCAGAGATTATAAAATAGAGGTTATATTATTTAAAGAGCCATAAGACCAACAGATGGACAGGGAATGAAATCGAAATCTATTTTCACATCTTCATTTCAAGAAACAAGGGTTCAAGACAGACAGTTTAATGTTGAAATTTATTTTGAAATATTACGAAGAAATAAGTGCTTTTCAAACTGGTAGGCTATCTTATCATAGTTTGGTTCATTACTAACCAAAGTATCTCAATAATAAGTTAAAGGACTTAGAAAATATAATATATATATTTTACTTATTATCTCAAAACAGCTATTTCAAGGCCCATTTTGGGAAACCTTGTTTAAAACATCCAGCCAGACACTACGTACAAATTTACTTGAACAAACCTACCTTTTCAATTGTTTTCATCATAATACCAATCATTTTATGTTGTTTTTCCACGTCATCCATAATGAGTAAACTCTCAATTGCACGGATTTGATCTCTTCGTTTCATTTTAAACATATTCCGATAAATTTCAATGGGCGTTTTTGTTCCATTTTGAAGTTTTTTCGACTCCGTATCCAATTTTGCTTCGTCAGCAAAAATTGATGAAAATATAGTCGCCAGAAACAATATTATTAGTCCAATTTTGACCATTTTTATCCACAATATTCTGAATTCTATGTATAGTGAACTAAACAGACATAAAGCATACAATTCAATGAAAATAAGACACACTCTAATATGAGAAATTGGGGAGAACTGGTAGAGGTGAAATTTGACAAATATCCATTCTGTTTCAAATAAATCAAAAAATCAAGTCTTTATAATAAGTAAACAAAATTGTCTATATGGTATCTTATTTTTTATTAAGAGTGAAGGAAGGGCTATGCTTGCAAATGGAGTCGAAAAATAAAATATTAAAAAACATGCGCCAATTAATTCTGGTACTTTAATCAAGGTTCTGTAGTTTATATTGATATCAGAGTTGTTATTCAAACTTTCCAGGGTCAAAGGTTACTTGGGTCATTTTCAAATTGAAACGAACTTTTGAGGTCAAAGTTTAAATTTCTGAGTTCACTGAGAGGAGGATAACAGATTAATAACTTCAATTATACTTTAATAAAAGAATCAAATACAATTTTATTGTCAGATGACATTATATTATAAACAAAAGTTTTTGTTACCAGTATGTTACTGTTCGAAAATAACTATAATTCTGCACTAAATCCAAATTTTTTTTTTTGGGGGGGGGGGATAGTAGATTAATAACTTCAATTATACTTCAATGAATGGATTATTAAATGAAATTTTATCATCAAACAACATGGTGAGATGGAACTTTTATTACCAGTACTCTGTAACAGCTGGAACAAAAAGGAGAAATTAGAGTGCTAAATGTCTCAGATTGGAGAATTATAGTAATTGAGTTCTCGAACGCCCATTTTAAAATAGTTTGACATGTTGAATTTCACAATTTGACAAGTTTTTTTTACCTAATACAATTTATTTCTGATATTTGAAAAAGAGAGCTATTAATAAATGCCAAACATTTTATAGGTGCTTTGTAGAGAAGATAAGGAAACCAATGATTTTGAAAATTTGAAATCAAAATCAAAAATGAAATGCTATACTACCAAACGATTTATCAATTATTTATTCACACAGTTCATTTAAAATCATAATTGACAACTTCTTTGGATTTAAACTCAGTATACCACCAATCTCTTCCGACGTTTGTGCCCGCTTTATCGTCTTGTGGAAATTCTTCTGGATATTGGACCGGAGCCACCGGGGCAAATCTAGGAAACCTTCCCCCTATGATGATAAGAACAATCAAAGTTCCAGCGAGAGTTAATAAAAACCGTGTGTAATGTCGACGGTCTAGCATTAACGGTCTTCGGTCGAGAGCAGAGAATTGATCGTAAACTTCTTGATGAACGTGTATCGGTTCTCCGTAATTACGACGCAACGCTGGTTGATCCCAATCGTAATATGGATCACGTTCAAACGCCGCTTCGTTCGGTAATTTCGGGTAATCCCCATACCCTTCCATTGGGACATAATCCTCAGGTATTAGGTTATATTTCGATGCTCTTTCTGCTCGTTCCCGAGGCGACATTAGTTTTGATTGGTCGATAAATTCAGGTCGATCCCCTTTTTTCAACTGCGTCTTGTCATATCCCTCTGGTGGTACGTAATCATATTCCCCTCGTTTTACACGACCAAGATGCAACGTTGCTGTCGACACCCGCCAAATTGGTCCAGGGGTTGCATTCAGCTTCACAAGTCTTTGGCCAGCCCTCGCAAACAAAGCCATGACTACTTTTAATACTATAAATTAACTGATAAAAAAGAAAAAGGCGATTTGTAAAAATGCATAATGAATGGCAATAAAACCTCACAAAAATCATTAAATGAGACAAAATTGTACCAATAATGCAGTTATGGTTTAAATATTAAAAAATTACACATGCAATCCGTTCAAAAGCAATGTCCAATGCCCTCGAAGAACTCGAAGCAAGGTCCCGAACCCTCAACTAAAAGTGGAAAGAGTACTGATAGAAGAGTTGCAAGTTTTCTCAAAGCAAAGTCCCTTGTCCTCAACTAAAAACAGTACTGATAGAAGGGTTGCAAATTTAGACTTACCATATGACAAATTTCCAATCTTTGATTAATAAGAGCAGACTTATAGCAGTTTGTACAATGAAATGGGAATAATAAATTCGATACAATTCAAGATACGATAAATCAGGACAAATGAACTAAGGCACAAATGTGAAAACAAGGGGCGCTCCCGTAGTATGTGGACCAAGATGGCGGACACCGAAATGTAGTATGTGTACCAGGTTAGGGTTAGGGCATAATTTTATCCCAATTTCAGTTCTATTATGAGTTCGGGGACTAGCCAAGTGACTCCCGTAGTATTTGTACCTAAAATTATGGCCTGACCCTAACTGCCATCTTGGTTCACATACTACATGATACCAAACAAAGCGCACATAAGGGCAGATACAGTAACCAATGAAAGCTGGGAATAGGCAAGGATGAAACAGATATTTGAATACATTTAGATACCAAAATAGTAATTCTAAAACAGTTTTAAAATTCATTGGGTTTGATGGTATTAGACAGGGATGTGCAACCTTTAATACAAGAGGGCCAGATATAAATAACTGGGTGAAACCGTGGGCTGTGCTTTTATTTAACATAGGCTTTCTAGTAGTTGCAGGCCTAAAAATTTTGGTTATTGATCTCATGACATGCGTTGTTCACTTCCCACAAGCTAGCTGTTAGGGCATTGTAACGCCACAGACATTGATAATAAATTTTACTCATTTTACTCAAGAGATTTGAAACACTCGCACATACCAGTCAACTAAATTTAAAACTTGTTTCACATGCCGCACACCAATCAGAATTGGTACTCTTCAGTAGGCCGCACAATTTTTCCTCGTGGGCAGCATTTGGCCCGCATGTTGCACACCCCTGCTATAAGAGATAGTAGAAGACCAAAAAGATTTAATATTTGAATACATGTAACCCAAACCACACTAAAAGGCAGCATACAGTAACACACGCAACTTCAATATTGAAGAACCTTTTCGACGGTCGTAAAATATCTTTACACTTGTACTTGCGGAAAGTTACATATAGTTTGGATTATGTACGCGCATGTTTGGCATGGACTTTAGATTCTTATCGTATTTTTGCTGATTTGCTGCTTATTTTGCTCGTTATCATTTCCAGCGGAAAGTGTAGAAATACCAAATAGTCATTTGAAAGACAAAACTATAAAAACATTCGACATTGCAAAGTAATGGTGTTTCGGTGCTACTTTGGTATGCGATATCAGAGGGTTAATATACGAACTGGTAAACTAAACTCAAAATATCTCAATTTACAAACCTATCACAAGTTGACACCATACGTCAGCGTTTCTCAAACTGTGTTCCACGGAACACGGCTATTTTTCATTATCAATATTACCTTATAATTTCTTGGCGTTCAATGAGGCGAGATAAAAAGAGTAGTTCTGGGGCAAAAAAAGTTCGAGAAACACTGCCATACGAAATAGCCATGGTCCCAAAATTGAATATTTGAATACATCCATATTCCGAATGCCATAATGAGAAAAATCAGAACAAATATACCAAGGCACCAAAGAAGAAGAAATTCATCATATTTGACATTATGAGATAGCAGCCCTAAACAAATTGAAAATGAAATATCATATATCCTCGCATATTACCCAATTTTAAAATTCAAGCAAAAAATTTGCCAAACTAAGGGGTCGGTGTATACGCGCATAACTCTGATCACACTAAAAATTCGGCTTATACACGCATAACATAATTCGGTGCTCCCGAAGTATGCGAACCAAGATGGCGGACATCGGAACGTAACATGGGTAACAGGGTAGGGTTAGGCGATAATTTTTTTTCAATTTTCCTTATTTTAGTCCTATTATCAGTTCGAAGACTAGCCAAGAGCCTCCCGTAGTATTTATACCTAAAATTATGGCCTAACCCTAACCTAGTACACATATTACATTCCGATGTCCGCCATCTTGGTTCGCATACTTCGGGAGCCCCCATAATTCTTATAAATTCGCCGTTTTAGGGTTATTTTTAGGGGGTCAGCTTAAATGTGAGAATATTCGGTACAATCACAATTTTATCCTGTAAATTTAACAAATATTTTCAATTATCTTCATTCTAAAATTTATCATATTTAGTCCTGTATTATGTAGAGTCAGTCCATGTATAATGCAACACAAATAACTCAAGGCACCAAGGTAAAAAACAAAATGAAAAATTTTAGCAAACGTGAATTTATAAAATGATCCAGTGAATTTAACAGGAAATATTATTAATATCTTAGCTTCATTCACAAATTTATCACTTTGGGGTTATACAAGATAGGTCTTACCAATAGGTGTAGGGGGGGGGGGCCATACCCCAACCTAATCTCATTATATGTTTTTTTTTAAAAGCTATTTCACATCATCACACGAACACACCCATAAAAAGAGCAGAAATGGGAAGTTATAACAATGAGGGGGCGTATAATGCGCCAGGTATATGTTGATGCATAAAACTATCATTATCTTAGAGATGATTAATGAACTATTTCGGCGATGTGGCCCATTATTCCAAGTGTATATTGATGAAATACCGGTAAATAAAAAGCAATAAATGAATTTAAGGCAAAAATTACGTAATTTATATGATTATTGAAAAAGCTATATGAAATAAAAACTGGCAGATAAACAAAAAAGAGAAAAGAGAAAAAATTTTAAGAATCATTTTTTGCTGGAAATTGAACTCTTGCTGGTTGGAAATGTAAACGATGAATTTTGGATGTAGTGGTGCATTGTACCAACAGGGGTACGGGGTACACAGTAGTATGTGCACCAAGATGGCGCACAACCTGAACCCTAACCTGGTACATATACTATGTTCAGATTGTGTGCCATCTTGGTACACATACTACGAGAGCACCCCGAAAGGATAACTCAGGTATAGGCTTTGCAATGCAATAGGATTAGAATCAATCGTTCATATCAGATTAAATTAAATTAAAAACCCATTCAGAATTGGCATTTCTTAGAGGGCCGAACAATTTTTTCTCGCTAGCCGCAGGTTGTACTAAAGTATCAAAATTTGATTTATTCAAAATCTGGAGCTGGACTTGGAGTTAAAACTTTTAAAGAAACTTGGAAAGCATCATTTTACTAAGCACTTTCAACAGTCTATTACTGGTTTGCTTACCTTAAAATTTTTGTCATCAGATTTGATTTCCTCAGAGTCCAGAACTAAAGGGAATTTTGTTTTTAACCCAAAGTCGGTAGTCCAAGTCTAAATTACGCACATCTCGAATTTGGGAGCCGAAGATAACATTTTTCTAACCGGATCAGATGGTAAATCTCTCCAGACTCCACAGCCTTATTATTGCCTACCTAAGGGCGTGCGTCTACTCCACAGTTTTCAAATCAAAATTGTCTGAAATGAAAATTAAATCTAGCACCAGATAAAAGTATAGTTCACCCTTTCACAGCGCGGCTATTTCATTATTTAGAAATGCAGAAAAGAGTTGATAAAGCAACAAAAACTAAAAATAAAATACTGATTGATACAATTACAGACTTCAAATAAAACTTATTGATTAAAAAAATTCATAAATGGAAGACAGATAAGCAGTGTTCAGTAATCTACTCTGAAATATTACTTTTCATCTGACGGTTATTCATGCCTATCGCTCAGAGCAAATATGAAAGGGAACTCTGTTTGCGAATAGCAATACCACTAAAGTTCAGCCAGAATTCTATGAATAGCACTAGCATTAAACTGAATATAGCAGGGGCACTTCATAAACTTGAACTACCCCCATTTCAAGCAATTTGATCATCCATATACCAATAAGATCATTTAAATCAGGGGTGAGCAACAGACGGTCACGAGCCATAACCCAGCCCGCAATGCCATTTAGTGTTGCCCTCGTCAACACTCATATTACTTCCCCATCAAGCATAAAATCTGAATCTGACAGTTTATGTTTAAAGCGGTTCTCACATGGATTAAAATACATGTTTTACGATGTTGTCGCTGCGATAAATCTATTTTACCCATCGCATTTATTACTGTAAGGCTAAGCAATATCCTTTTCATTGTGAGAATATTTAAATCCGTTGTGTACATGTAAAAACTAATTTTTTGTGTGGCCCAGCTGGATGTCTGATGTTAATTATATGGCCCACCGTTAAAAAATGTTGTACACCCGTTTTAGAACAAACCTAATTTGCATTGAATTTCAGAAGCATTTATTCCGTATTTAAACAGAGTGCAAGCTAATCCTCACTCCACTTATTAGTCATTGTTGCGAGCTCAGCTGAGAACGCTCCAATTTTTTTCGTCGCACTTTCGTCAAGTTCCACAATTTTAATATTGCCAGTTGAATCATCGCTTATATCGTCAGGTTCAATGTCTTGCTCATCGGATATGTCCCAGGTATTGCCTTTTTTCCCGCCATGTAATTTTGTTCCTAAATTTCTCCTGTGCGCACCGAAAGAGTTGTGAGAGGCGCTGTTTTTTGTCTCAAATGGACACACGTACTCCCCGTTTGAAAATTCACGAGATCCGCTACTCCCCAATCCTTTTAACCTTGAAAGCGGACCGAATGACCTTCGGCCAATTTTGACTTTAGCTGCGATGTTTAACATCGATGAAGCTTCTTTTTGCTTTGAAGCTAGTGAATCCGGTGGTAATAATTCATTGAATTTTGCAATTAGATGGCGCCGTAACAATGATTTCGAAGTCGGAATATGCAGCAACGAAGACAGAATTTCACCACTGAATTGTGGTTCCATTATGATCAGTGAACCATGAACTCCGCTCCCACGTAAATTCGGAGCGTACTCTGCTAAATCAATGGATCTCAACCATTCCATAACACGGTGATTCGTCCATAACGCAACATCTTCTTTTTCTACCGTTTCATCCACCGGGCGGCGTTTGAGTTGCAACGGATCAAATTTTATATTCCGCAGAGTATAAATAGCACGTCTAAAACTCAATGTATGTAACAGATTTGTGATCCTCAACCGCTGTAAATCGCCAATCGTTAAATGGTGCAACATCCGACAATCGATACGAGCTTTATGAAAAGCTTCTTTGTATTGTGGAAGCCCAATATCATCCAACCATCTTGCCACAGTCACGTGATCCATGCCGACCCCTTTGATAATCTCCCCGCCAATTTCATCTTCATCTCCCAAAGCTTGCAATGATAACATTAATTTTTTTTTATGTAGGGGATTATGGACCCCCAATTCTTTTTCAATGTCTTGATTTGTAGCTTGGAGTAAAGTCGCCCCACTTTTCACCCAGTTTTTGCAATTTTCGACGTACGCTTCGAGGCCTAAGTCAATTAGCCAATCAGTAACTTCGGTGGTGTTCCATTGGGCGAATGGCGATGTAGTATTCTGCGTCAATTTTGGTTTTGAAGCGCCTAATCGAGGCCCAGCAGTTGCACGAAATCCTCCTCTTGTAAAATTTTGTGGATTTTCAGATACTTTCACATTATTTCTATTTTTTCCAGATTTACCTCCCCACGATTGTAAAGACGCAGAATCACTTTGTAAGTTTGAAGAATTACTTCTACGAAGTCGAAAACTATTAAAAAATTTCCGAA